GAAAGCTTCCACCCTTCCTGTGCTTGACGGAAATAGTTTTCTTCCCGAACGGGGAATGCTCATTCTTTAGCGTTCTCGAAGAATCCACGAGATCAATTTCAATATGAAACCACAAATCAAGATTGCGTTTAATAGACCACTGGAAACAATGGCTAAACGATGGTAAAAACGCCTCATCGCGGTAGCTAGCGCTAAGCAGCTTTGAAAAACAACACTAGGTTATACAGTTAAAACCATGAGAAAAATAGGATCACATCAGTTACGAGGTGAGATTCATTTCTATGTATGTATATGTTGTTGCATGCCCATACTGAAAATGAGTGCGCGTTCGGAGAGCGGAGAACATAGTGATAGAGACAGGGCCACTAAGATAGTGGATAACATGTCGTTCTTACGGTGGGACAGATTCAGCCACCCTTCAATCTAGAGATTTCCTACATTTCGAACATTTAGACTGAGAAAGTATTTTGTTGAACGCGGATTCAAGAATGTTGAAAAAATTAATGTGGTCACCCCTATGACCTTGATTAATACACAATTCAGCCTGAAAATAGCTTTATGATAGCAGGGCAAATGATTGCAATTGATAATCATCACTTCTAGCTTGAGATTCTCCGAAATGTCAAAGTGCAAAGCCAGAGGCTGGATGTACGGACGACCCTTCCCCCAAATTTGCGCCAGCCAACTCTGCGTCTCTACCGCTTCGGGGATCCCCTCGAGTATAGCATACGGCCGCTCTGGGGGACGTCCCCCTGGGGTGTCTTCCCCTAGAGGGGACCCCTCCCCTCGAGGGGGAGTATAGCATACGGCCCCTGGCTCCAGCTCAGTCAAAACCAGTTTTGATATCCTTCCAAATGAGGTCAAAGTATCCCGAGGGCAAATTTGAGGTTGAATTTAGATTTGGACCCTAATATCGAGAAAAGAACCAACGAAAAACGAAAAGAACACAGAAGAACAAATAACGAAAAGTGAGCGATGCCCGTCAGCCAGAATTTTCGCAAAGAAATAAAATACAAAATTAGGAATCATAAAGATTTATAGAAATATAACTTGCCTCAGCGCATAAATGGAAATATGCAAGGAGAATGGTGGCTTCGGAGCAAGTAATAATCAGAATCAAAAACACGACGAAAAGGAAACCAAACATGTAGTAGGTTTGATGAGCCCTGAAAACCAAAGAAGGAATTTCAATTTGTACGAAAGAGTAACTGTTATTTCTTAGAAATGTTGAATTTCCAGGTTTGTTATATCCTCTAAAAATCATATAAACATGTACACACAAATAAAACCGATAACGAAACTACTCAACACGAAAACTATGAGGAAAATGCAATACTTACCAGATACTGTTAAGGATGAAAAATAGCTGAATGAAGATACACCCGAATGGAAGTATTCCGCCCATAAGCATTCCAGGAAGTGGTTTCGTATAGATACTTTGTTCAGGAACTTGACGTGGGATCTGATTCGTACGAACGGGAGCCTCAATCGCCTGAAATGCTGGCAATCATGACAATACAAAGTACCACTGCCCTTAACAATTAGCACATCACAGCACGGTACTCCTTTTTAGGTTTTCCTTTCAAAATTCCAGATTTCACTTCTGGGGGAACCCTCAGATTCTTTGACAAAGCGATTTTGTTTTGCATTCTTCGCCCACTAAATTACGCCCTGTACACAGTAGACTTCATTGGAAGCTCCGCCCCAGAGAGTCATGCTCTTTTTTGCCGCGAATACTTACCACCCTCCCTCTCGCTATATAAACTAGTCACTCTATGAAAAAGGGACAATCGCACACATTCCACTACAGTGAAGATCGCTGTACAAAGCCTGGTAGTGAAATGGTTCCCTAAAGTCGCTCCTTGAGCAGGATAGGCCTAACCCCTCATGCAGCAACAACTTTCGCTCCCCCTCCCTCCCCCTCACTTCAGGTGGTAAGCTAAAAAGTACTTCAATTGCATTGCGCCGCAATCATTCCGAAGTGGTAATTTTTTACAAAGTAAAACGGGCCACGGTAACAGAAGGTATACAAAACGCAAGCACAGCAAAAAACTTGTACGTAATCAATATTGAGAAGCGAACAAAGGAATTCCCTAACTGACCCTCTTTTTGAAACCGAAGAACGCTCCTATAAACGTCATTGGAGTGGAGATGAACAGCCAAAGTGACAGGAGGGCCAAGAGAGTTCCAAATGGAACTGCTGCTGATGATCCTTTTATCCAGAGTAGAATGTTGGTGAAGAAGAACACAGAGAAGAGTATTCTCGAAAGAGTATATTAGGAATAATATACACAATAAAAACGTTTTGTATTTATTGAATACTGAATTCCTCAAACATACCCAGGAATCAAGAAACTAGTAAGTATCACATTTGTCTTCCAGTGCACGCCTTGGAATGCTGAAAATCCGCTATTTTGTAAAAAAAATTATGAAAAGCAAGACAATTTCACGCCATGGCAACTTACTTTTGTACAAGCGAGCCGCAACATAGCCGGCAACTATTCCGAACAGCACGTAGAATACCAGGGCAAAAGTGATGAGCGCTCCACGATTTGCTGGCGATAGGAATCCGAGACAAGCGAATACTAAAAAAAGAAATTTGAAGAATGAGAATGGAGCCTAAAAATATTAGGAGATGTTCCAATATACATACCATATTTTTACGCATTAATGAAAAAAGCAATGCTGAAATTAGGCGGTTCCCCGAGGTTGCGTTCGTACCCTGCGTTAGCGCTTTGTGCGACTGGGAACGTATATCTGGTACTCTGAGCGTAGGCCAACGTTTTCTGCAATTGCTCGCCAAAAGTTCACAATTACCCGCCAGGGGCCGCATGCTATACTTCCCCAGTAGATCTCCGCTCTCTGCCGTTATCTCTACCAATGCCCCTCGTCTCTCTGCTTCTGCCTCTCTGCATCTATGTCTCCCCCACTCTCGCGGAATCTCCCCCAACGACATTCGCTGGGGGAGAGGGGAGCATATCGATTATACTCTGCGCTGCACTATATTCGCACAGCATGCGCCAAAAGAGTATGGATGCAGAGCGGCGAGAGCCAGAGAGACGAGAGGCATCAGCAGAGATAAGGGCAGGGAGTGGAGGATTACTAGGGAATATCTCCCCTCGAGGGAAAGAATAGCATACGGCCCCAGAACGCACAAAACGCCGCTGTGGCACATCTTGAACTTTTGTACATGGTCCTTCTGCGAAACCGAGAAACGCAGACAACTAGAGGACAGCGGTCGCCAGACATGGACAGCACCGAAACGTTCAAAAACACATGTGGCGAGCCAGGAAACGGGCTTTTCAGGGGAGGGGACCCGTGGTGGGTGATCCACTTATAATCCGTGTAAAGCTGGAATGTGCGAAGTCACAACAACAACAGAGCCACAGAGTGCCATGCGGACGAGAGAGTGCAGAGAAAAACAGAAGATCGACGCGTTCAAAGGGATTGAGTTCAAATTGTCCGTAGACCGTTGTGGCGCCTCAAAAAGCTGACGCGGAGTGTGAACGCGGCCTCATTTGCAGGTAGTGCAGTGGTAAAAAGCGCTGCTTTTCATGCGCTTGGAAGTGTTGGGTTAGAGGGCTCAGCCACACAAGTTAAAGGGATGGCAAAGTTACCGTGACGCGCGCCAACACAGGCTATATTATGATGCTCCGCACCGCATGACAGATTGCTGGGCAACACCAGTTCATGACGAATGGAGACGATACCTGCACCCACCTAAGCAACCCCTATGAAAAGCAGGGCAAACAATGCAGGCGTACTAGAGACCCATCTGGAAATCTACGTACTGGAGCAGTACCGCTCACGCAAGGAACGATCCATTTCGCTTGTCCTCTCGATAAACCCGTCCTTTCAAATGAACCGTCGAGAATCTTCAACCATTCAATTTGCCACCCATATAAACAATGAGCGTCAAGGAACGATCTTCTCGCGATGGTGAGATAAAATCTTTCAAAGTCTCGTCGCGCGCCGAGTTATCCCTCCATTAAACGATTGCTGTTCCAGATACAAATGGTATTGATGAGTCGCACCGTTCAGCTGTTGTCAGCCTTCTTCATAGAAAAAATGGAGAATGGAAAAATGGAGAATAAAAAAAGGAGAATAAACTGACCAAGCGTGATGGACACCATGAGCAACGTCTGACATCCTGCTCCAATGAAAACCGATAACATCATGGCATTTCTCGGAGGTCGAAACACATCTCCGTGAACTAATTTCCATCCAAACTCCTCTTGGGCATCTTCCTGAAAGCAGTTGTGATGGATGGAACGGAGGCATCTTTAACAGAGCGAACAATAACCCAGTTTAAAGGAGGTTAAAGGAAAAAGGTATGAGAGAAAAAAAATAGAGAAGTAATTAAGAAAGGAACCTCATTATCTAACTGATTATATCTTGCAATATCACGGTGAAGCGTTCGCATAAGGATCATCCCAACCTGAACAACGATAAAATACCGAAAAATGTTCACTGGATGACTTTGGCTTGACACTGACTTTTACAATGAAAAAACCTACCATTCCAGATAAAAAGAGTACGATTACAAGCGAGTTCATAATAGAGAACCACTGGATGTTGGAATGTGGGATGGAATCCAAAATATAATCCCATCGTGAAGACCATTTCACATCCGTTTTCTAATTGACGGAACCATATTTCGAGTCGACAGAACAAAATTAAAAAGACGTACCACCCATTCAACTTTGTATGTATACGTGATTTCAGTTTGTGTTTCTGATGCCTTGATCGACAGGGGTTGAGCTGATTCAGAGCAGTCCAGTTTATCAGAGCCCGGATGTTTGATGGAACGAGGCTTCACCAAGATGTGAATAATCCGGCCACCAACCTTTAATAAAAAATTTTAATAACCATGCTGAAACGTGAAACAATGAAGTTTCTCTTTTCCTTAGTTTTTTTATTTTCTCGATATAAGAGGAAATGACTATTTAAAATGAGATAATAAACACGGGCAGCTTCAAGGGCCATGGTTTGATCACTCCCTCGTATATTCCCGTGGACCAATGATTGTGACAGATCTGGACTTCGCTCAAAGGCAGTGCGTACGGTGGGCGGGGGCGGGCGGTTCTTGCCAGTGCCAATGGTGGAAGGGTTGCCAGAGGGCGTTTAGCCACACTCACTTAGCCCTTCCGCAAATGACGCTGACAACAACCGCCCGCCTTCAGCCGTCGTGCCCACTGCCTCAGCAACGAAGAAAAAAGGGACATACTGATAAACAAAAGATTTTGAACCGGCCAAATTAAATCCCTGACGTTTAACTATCCTAGGGCCTGTATGCATCACCTATATCCGTGCCGATTTCAGCAGTTCTCTCGTACAATTTGTTACGATATTCAAGAAAAGAGCCTTCCTTGCTCCCCCGACTTATGAAGGACACGAAATGTTTCGTATTTCCGTAGTCTTCACGTTCACCCGATTGAAATGACCTCAAAGTTTTATATGTAAATATTAACATATTGTAATATTTATTGCAGAAAGTTCCAAAAACGAACCCAAGAGCCAGGAGAAAGGTTATGCAGTGATAAAGGGCTCAACTAGTAAATGACATTGTTATGAAAAGTTTCCACTTTCAAACTACGCACCTGTTCTCCATCCAAAAAATTTTGATCCTGAGTCATGTCACGATATTCAATTGTGATGTCGACATGATTGAAAATGTAATAGCTGTCTGGTACGTTGAAACGTGGCTAAAAAGTGTAATAATCCCATGGGAGATAAAAGGTGCTTGATAAATACCCAGTAAAGCTGTACATCGGTTAGTTATCCGTTACTAATAGCACTTTCAAAATATTACAGAATGGAGATACTCTGAACCCTCAAATGTAGATCAACTTTCTAAGTAGACACCTAGAAAACAGGGCGACCAACACACAAGCAAAGGGCACGACTGCTGAGGGGCGCGTTATTGGTGGAACGGCAGAGTGGGGAAAGGTCAAAAGCTTTCTCGCAGCTCTTCCGCCAATGAAACACGAAAACAGTCGTCCGTCTCCAGCAATCGTGCTCACTGCCTTCAAGCCAGAAAAATGTAGCACTGAAAAATGCTGACTCAGCGCAAATTATGGAGCCAAGTTCCAATGGCGCAGCACTGCACCAGGAGGACCCTTCTCAAGTGAAATGTGAGCAGGTTGACAGCTCTAGATTTTGCCACTTACGCCACTCGGAACGGAGCGGAAATGACGTTTGAGGCTAAAAAGCTGAATGCTTTTCATGTCGCTGTGTGCAGGCATAGGCATCCAAACATCCGCAACACGCCACTATGTTTTTCATACGCCCAACCATAGCTACACTCGCTACCTCGTTAAGCCTTCTTAAGCGGAGCTAGGTGCAGAAATGCCGAACCACGGAATGTGCAGAACTGCGGAATTTGCAGACGTGTGGAATCTGCAGAACCGCGGAACTTGCAGAAAAAGAAAATATGTCTATCGATTTCAAAAACCGTGGAATATGCAGAAGTGCGGAATTTGCAGAAATGCCGATGGACCGATCGATCCCTATCGCTTCTTTGTCCGCAATTTCTGCATGTCGGCAAATTCCGCACGACGGCAGGGAAGAACCAATCGATCCCTATCAATTCTTTGTCCGTCATTTCTGCATGTCGGCAAATTCCGCGGAATTTGAAGAAATGCAGTTTTCAGATCGATACGTATATATTTCCTTTCTGCAAATTCCGCATTTCTGCATCATGTATGAACGCGGCCTTACAGAAGGCGGAATCATGAGGAACACCGAATACCACAACCTTCTAGACATATTTCCGCGCAGTTGTAAACCGCTAAACTTGTACATTTATCCAACTGCGGATTTGGTTGCTCTCATTACGGAAGGAATCCACCTCGCGGGTAATCTATATCTTGCCTCTAGACTAGTAAAACGTCTCTATCATGCCGCGAGGATCATCGCGTCAGCTCGCCATAGCCGAGAAGACCACGTTAAACACACTAACACATGCATGACACACCGTGAATGTCACACGGTCCGGAATTTGCTAAACAACACACTCATAGGAAATGCGAGCATCCTATGACACAAGCTCAACTAACTCCTTGTTAAATCCCGAATAATCTAAAGTTATAAATGGAAATTCTCTGACAAGGTGTCATGCACGTTCAAAGTTAAATGCGTGTTTTCTGGTGTCACATTCTTGTCATATGAGCTTTTAGGAGCTAGATTTTGAAAAATACAAATGAAATCAGAAGATATCGCCATGAAATAGCGCAGGGAAAACGAATTAATATCAAACAAAAGGTCCCAAAAGCTTACATCAATGACGCAAGCGTCACGTGGTTGTCCATTTGCATCCACATAGCAACCCATTGGAAAACCAGTTGTGCAAACTTTTACATCCTGTTGATTGTTGAAGCAGAACGTAATTGGCATGTTGTCAATAATCCTGTTTGTAAAATTACTCGATGTAAAAATTCAAAAAATAAATAGCAAAGCTTACCAGTGATGTTGATAATTTAGGCGCATTCCTCTTTGTAACAATCGAAGTTTCTCGATACTTGATGGATTATTTGTATAGGATTTCGAGCAAACTTTGGAACAATTTTGACTTTCAAGAAAAGAGATCTGTAAATCGTTATATGTTTCATGTTAACTCGAAAGTAATTAAGAACATTTAACCTTGTAGGGGCTTGGTCGGATTCGTTCACCAAACAGAACTTGGCCGAGATTTTCAACTGGAGACTCTTCTTCAGATCCGATACAAAAATCAAAACTGAATAGCAAATAGATGACGTCATCCCGACTGAGGAAAAAACAGTTGATAAAACTTACCTGTGATACTCATAAGGGATGACCGATTGATCGCTATCCAAATGATTCACATATAGTGTTACATTGTTCTGAAGGGGAAAAGGCCACAAAATCAAGAAAAAAGGTAAAAAAATAGAAATAACTAACTGGGCATGTTGGTTTACGTTTTGATGCTTCACAGAAATTTACAGGAGCTAAGCCAGGCAGATAAAATGCTGAAGATAGCGTCGATAACACCAGCAACGAGATCACTACCCAACGCATGCTAAATCGTAATAGTTTACTACTCCCAAGGGATACCTATTATTGCTAAACGGAAAACTTATCCATAGAGAAATCATGTAAAACAGCAGATTCCAACGAAAAAACGAATCAAGTAACAACAAATTAAAAACGAAAACAGCCAAATAGACGAATCAGCTGAAACGAAGAGAAGAACACAATAAAACCAAACATTAACAAGTTAATGTGGAAAAGCTGCTCAGGGACGGAAAGCAAAAAGCGATACAAACGAGGAATTGTACGAATGAAATCTGCAATAATCAATGCCACGCCCATCAGCCTTTCGTTGCCACGCATTAATGCTGGTCCCTGCACGAATATGAACTGGAGGTCCTCAGACGTGAGTCCACCCGCTGTAATTCGATACGAGTTCCAGATTCTCCATTACTCTCAATGTGCCTGGAGGATTGTAAACTAGCAGGATCATCAAAACTTTTCATGAAGCTCTCTTTGGAAGGAGGCTCCTCATTCGGCCTTCATTCAAGTTGTGGGTGGGCGAATCACTCGTTGTTCAAGCCGGTATTTTTTTGTACTAGGATGTTCGGTACCGAGGAAGCATTGAGGGGTGCACCAGGATTAAGAATAGCTTTGAGGGACATAGTCCCGTCCGTATGAACCTCTGAAAAGCATAGGAGTTTCAACTTCAAAGGACAACTTCATCCAAACGTAACCTATAGCAAAGCGGTAGGGATGTATGTAAACAGAAAGACTTTTCTTCCAAGAAACTCCGACTTTCCGACTTTCAAGAAAGGAACCCGAGCTGTGAGCCGACAATATTGGCCTAGTTAGCGAGGAAAGTTTCATGACACTGCAACTCGCCACTATTCGAAGGATATAATTTTTTTGAGACCTATACATTACTACATAGAAAAGCAGTAACAGTGCTCGAAACCATTATACTAGAGGGTTTTCAAAAGGCGCTGAGCCTTTTTTTGTAACTCAGCTACCTTGAAAATTGTACAACTGTAGAGTTAACGAGAAAAAAGTTCCAGCGGCGAAATGTGGGTCCTTTGGCGCCGCTACGTGGGACTCCCTTCGGGACCTCGAAACGCTTTGAAAGGCAGTTGGCACGATGGTTTCCTACTTAGCCTAAAATGCTAGTAGGGCGCTGTATAGTGGGGAAATGGCGAAAGAACGGAGTGAAACGGTCAAAATCCTGCGAAGAAAAAGCCTCCGTTCTCAGTGACTTGTAAATCGATTTCGGACGAGTTTCCCGTAGGCATCTTACCAATCACCGCTACCGAAGATACGAAATTTGCTTAGCAAATGAATGAATACGAGCGTCAGGAACGGTCGTCCATTTGTGGGCGGGCGGGCGTGGCGGGCGTTTGGGACGTAAAGTTGTGGCTTGATAGGGCCCTTATAAGGGCACCCCGGGAAACCGCTATGCAGCGCCTGCCCAGGGTCGCGGAATTCTATCCTGCCAGAAGTATTGATCCTAGTCGCCTTGGGGGATTTATCGTGCCAACTGCCTTTAAGGACACGTCGTGTACTTGGGGCAACTAGCAACTGAAGAAGCTGGGACTAAGTCAACTTCGCGGCACAATGTGCCAAGGCAGCACACCATTACTATTCAGGCACTGAGTCACCTGAACCTGTCTTCAGTAAGAAAATAGACGCTTGCAGTGAGAGTTGATTGGTGCAATATTCTGTTGTGAAGACAAAGAGGTACTAATTGCGTGGAAAATGTGGTTTTGGGATGCTCCATGGCTGGGCTACGATGCCAAAGCATACCCTATCTTAACAAAATGCATGACAGGCATCTTCTCCTCTTACTTCAAATCCATTTGCCCTTGGCTACTGGAATCTTGAAAGTTCGTATTCTGCGGGATCCACAGAATTCAGGCACGTCGTAGTAGGAATCCCCAGCGAGGGGGTCGTATTTCGTCACCGGAGGAAGAGGAGCGGGGAAGGGATGAATTTGCCTTCAAGAAAAATGCTTCCAGTTGATGACCCCTTTTCAGTTTTTTCTCTTTTTTACTCCGAGAGGAATATATTTATCCCTTTGGACCCTCTTCCTCCGGTGAATTTCTTTAGAAGGGTGGCTGGGGACTGTGGACTTTGGATTCTGGAAAAAAAAACTTGGGAAAGATGGTAGGAAGTTGGGAAGGAAGGACATCAGGAAGAAGGTGTGTAGGATGGCGGAGGAAGGGAGATTACCAGGAGAAGAGCTTTGGAGTGGAGTCGTATTATTGCTGAAATTTTCCCGAGGGCAAGACCTGCTTCGACGAATCTCCTGTCGGGAATATAGAAATAAACATGAGGGGTGGGGGGGGGCAATGGCGTGAGGGGGCCAGACTACGTCACTCGCAGGTCAGTAAGCATCGAAACGACAATGCTGGGGTCCAGAATTGTAAAGATAGATGTTGGAGTCATCGTAGAGGTAGACACCATGAGACACCATCACGTTGCAGAATTTTTTTTAAATACAACTCCGTTCCTCACTTCCACTACTGGCACGACCCACTTCTCCATCTCGCGTACTACTTCCAACCTTTCCCGTAATTCTGGAGCCGAATAAGGGGAGAGAAGGAGTGGTCGGCACCTTGACCAGCTATCAAAAATTGTGGTTTTGCTGCGCAGCCAACTGAAATGGGGGTTAGGGAAAAATTAAACAGGAAAAGTAGAACTCTAAAACGGGAAAAATTAACAATCAAAACAACGTCTCCATGGCAACGTACGACCTACTCTCCTCAACAGCCAAATACGATCCTGTAGTGTGTAAAACCCAGTGAATACCCTGTCGCCTTATATTTAGTTATTTCTGCCAAACGAGGTTTTTAGATAGAACCTTTTATTGGCCCGACGTTTCGACCTTCTCGTCTTCTTCAGAGGCCTGAAAATGGCTCGAAGCTTTCAATTTGTCACCTACCCGATCAAGCGCCTTCCCCACTCTAGCGTTTCCGACGTCGTGTCCCGAACACCCCCGAAGAACCCAGTAATAACTGCGCTCAACTCACCGAGGTTCCACCGTGCGGAGCCTAGCTCACGCTATGTGTCAGTAGTGTAAGGACGAATGAGTCTCACTAGAGTCTCTCGTGTCACATAAGTCAAAATTGCCATTGTGCACGTCGCCCTTACTGTAGCTCGCATTTTGATACTTGAATGAACCAACTTGAATGCAGGGCTTGTACACCTCGTCATCCGGGCAGTTGATTAGGGCGGTCGTCAACGGGCCGCAGCGCGTGCCAGGAACTATTTGCTTTTCCAGGCTAATTTAGTCATTTTTCCACCTTGTGAAGATAAGGAGCTGCTAATCTGGGAAAAAGTAGCCAAAACAGTGAAAAGTTGGAAAAAATGACTAAATTAGCCTGGAAAAAGCAAATAGTTCCTGGCACGCGCTGCGGCCCGTTGACGACCGCCCTAATCAACTGCCCGGATGACGAGGTTAACAGCACGTACATCGGCGAAACAGGAAGGGACTTAGCTACTCGCGTCAAGGAACACCTAGCTGGGAAGAGGCGTGATATGATGACAACTCCTCTTGGCAAGCATAAGATTGAGGAGCATAACGGGAATGACTTTGATGTTAGCTGCACTATACTCGGGTACGAGACAGAGATTTCTTCCAGGAAAGCCCTGGAATCGTTTTGGATCTTTGCGAGAAAACCAAGGATGAACGGCCGAAACGAATGTCCGTCAATTACTAATGAGTTCTTGCCGTTTGTATCAAAATGCGAGCTACAGTAAGGGCGACGTGCACAATGGCAATTTTGACTTATGTGACACGAGAGACTCTAGTGAGACTCATTCGTCCTTACACTACTGACACATAGCGTGAGCTAGGCTCCGCACGGTGGAACCTCGGTGAGTTGAGCGCAGTTATTGCTGGGTTCTTCGGGGTGTTCGGGACACGACGTCGGAAACGCTAGAGTGGGGAAGGCGCTTGATCGGGTAGGTGACAAATTGAAAGCTTCGAGCCATTTTCAGGCCTCTGAAGAAGACGAGAAGGTCGAAACGTCGGGCCAATAAAGGTTCTATCTAAAACCTCGTTTGGCAGAAATAACTAAATATTCGACATCATGCCGAGGTTACAAGAAGGAGAACTTGGAGACTCCTGTCGCCTTATATATCCATAGATGGAGAGGGCCAGGCTGCTTACGTCATTCAAGCATTGAGTAGGATGCGTTTCTCGTGGGACATTCCCATTCGAGACACTTGTCATATTGTCTTGTACTGGACAAAGACACGCCTGTCTTGTGCTGGACAAAGACACGCCCCACTACAAAAATATCCCACCGGCAGCGCAGCCATTGAAACGTTTAACTGAAGTCTGCGGTCTGCTGCAGTGCGCTTCCTGTCGTTGAAGAAAGTTTCTGGAAATTGCAACCCCCTCCCCCCAAGTTCCTCCTCTGAAACGGTCCCACTTCCCATGCCACCTACCATCTTCCCTTGTCAATAAGCCGCTGAGTTTTCCCTACTTCCTACCGATTTGCCTAATTTTTCAGGAAGTTTTCCTTTTTTTCTAGAGAACTGGCAGTCAAACGAGGAGCGGAAGTGTGTAGTTGGAACAACAAACAACTTACTGCTTTTACCTACGAGAAAAATAGCAGGAGATAGAACTTCCACCACGCCACCAACCAGGGAGGGCAGCATGGGAACAATGGGAGTCTCCTAACGTTCTGCATAGCGCGCGAAACAGGAAAAATCAACTATCCAAAAATTTTCTCATGGTTAGGCCAGTTGCGACCGCTCTCCTTTACCCACGGACGGACACGACCGTCCCCTATCCCTTGCTGGCGATCCTCGACGTACCATGTGCCCCGGTCAGATCCGTTCAAATCACATATACATGGAAGTTGACCAGAGGAAAAAAAAGCTCTCCTCCCCACCTCGCCCCCCCCCTCATGCCTGCATTTTCCTTCACCAACTCGCTGCCATCAAATTCTTTATTACAACGCTAGACAAAACCACTCCGAATAGACAATTCGATCAACAAACAATCGTTAGGAAAACCCAAAAGATGACAAATGTGGCCTTTG